CCGGGGCAGACACGGGAGCGCGGGCAACAGGCACAAATGCGCTGAAGAGTGCGCCCGAGCACAGCAGCACGGCACCTGTCAGCACCAGGGATCGAGCCATGAGGACAATTGGACTGTGTCGAGGGTGTAACAAATGGCTGGCCAACTTCCAACTTGAACCAAAATGAAGAAGACCCCAAACCACGGACAAGAGTCAAGGGAATGCAATCAAACAAGTTGCAGTATTGCGGCAAACCCACGAGGCCTGATCCCGTCCCTGGACAGTTGATCCCCTAGATGTTGCAGATTGAGCCCAATCACTGAAAATTGACGAATCCCAAAAATGGGTGGTTTCCCAACCCCGAAAGTGTAAATCTAAGCTGCCATGCATGATTTTTTTTTGTACTGTCTCGGAGCCCTTTGCTCCGGCATGGTCCGGCTCCGTTAGGTGGGAATGGCCAGATTCGGGAAAAAACGCTCTTCTCAGTTGCTCTGCATGAGTTGTTGGTCAGTATCAGTGCGCTCACTTGATGAGGGGGTTGGCGAAGAGGAGCACCAGGGCGATCACCAATCCTGCGTCAAGTGGTCACTCATTTCTTTGCTCAGTCGGCGAGAAAAAGTAACACAAACCACATGGGTGTGTCTGTTGTTGAGGGCGCCCTAAAGGGAAACCCCCTTAAGAAAACCCAATATTCGATGTTGGTTTGGGGGGGCTCCCCAAAAAACAACACAGGCATATCGGGCGAAACTGTGTGTTGAAGCGAAGGCGCCGTAAATAGTCAGGGACTCCATGAAGGCCAAGGACAGAAGCAGCACTCCGCGCAGGTCATCCGCGACCTCAGGCTGCCGGGAGATGCCGTCAATGCATCGGCCCGAGGCGATGCCCTGGCCGACTCCGGAGCCGATGGCTGCCTTACTTGCCAAGATAACCTGGAAATAACAAGGTGATCGCCTTTGAAGGCCACTCAATTATGGACCGAAAAGGGAAAACCAATGGGCTACACGGACTGAGATGCCAATCCGATCGCGAAGCCCGCCCCGATGGCGGACAGCGCAGGGATCCAAACAGAGCCATCCTCCGCGAAAGCCGCCTGTGGCGTCGCCAAGACTGCCGCGCTCAGGGCTGCCGCAGTGCCTGCGTTGGTGGCCGGGGCAGACACGGGAGCGCGGGCAACAGGCACAAATGCGCTGAAGAGTGCGCCCGAGCACAGCAGCACAGCACCGGCCAGCACCAGGGATCGAGCCATGATGACAATGGGACTGTGTCGAGGCACAAACGGCTGGCCAACTTCCAACTTGAACCAAAATGAAGAAGACCCCAAACCAAGGACAAGAGTCAAGGGAATGCAATCAATCAAGTTGCAGTATTGCGGCAAATCGCTGCCCACGAGGCCTGATCCCGTCCCTGGACAGTTGATCCCCTAAATATTGCAGCCGAAAGTGTAAAACTCAGCTGCCATGCATGATTTTTTTGTACTGTCTCGGAGCCCTTTGCTCCGGCATGGTCCGGCTCCGTTAGGTGGGAATGGCCAGATTCGGGAAAAACCGCTCTTCTCAGTTGCCCACTTTGGACCCAGGAATAAAAGGATCACCTTTGAACCAATAGGTTAATTTCAAAACGTCGGCTTTGGGCAGGTGAGTTGAAAGAGCCCTCTGCATGAGTTGTTGGTCAGTATCAGTGCGCTCACTTGATGAGGGGGTTGGCGAAGAGGAGCACCAGGGCGATCACCAATCCTGCGTCAAGTGGTCACTCATTTCTTTGCTCAGTCGGCGAGACAAAAGTAACACAAACACAATGGGTGTGACTGTTTTTAAGGGCACCCAGCTATTTGTTGTTGTTTGAGAGGGGAGGAAGCTCCCTTAAAAAATGACGCACTGGGCAAAACATGGCGAAACTATGTGTTGAAGTGAAGGCGCCGTAAATAGTCAGGGACTCCATGAAGGCCAAGGACAGAAGCAGCACTCCGCGCAGGTCATCCGCGACCTCAGGCTGCCGGGAGATGCCATCGATGCATCGGCCCGAGGCGATGCCCTGGCCGACTCCGGAGCCGATGGCTGCCTTACTTGCCAAAATAGCCTGGAAATGACAAGGTGATCGCCTTTGAAGGCCACTCAATTATGGACCGAAAAGGGAAAACCAATGGGCTACACGGACTGAGATGCCAATCCGATGGCGAAGCCCGCCCCGATGGCGGACAGCGCAGGGATCCAAACAGAGCCATCCTCCGCGAAAGCCGCCTGTGGCGTCGCCAAGACTGCCGCGCTCAGGGCTGCCGCAGTGCCTGCGTTGGTGGCCGGGGCAGACACGGGAGCGCGGGCAACAGGCACAAATGCGCTGAAGAGTGCGCCCGAGCACAGCAGCACAGCACCGGTCAGCACCAGGGATCGAGCCATGATGACAATTGGACTGTGTCGAGGCACAAATGGCTGGCCAACTTCCAACTTGAACCAAAATGAAGAAGAGCCCATATCTGGGTCAAGAGTGAAGGGAATGCAACCAATAAGTTGCAGTATTGCGGTGAATCATTGCCCACGAGGCTTGATCCCATTTCTGGACAGTTGATCCCTAAATGTTGCAGATTGAGCCCAATCACTAAAAATGGGCGAATCCCAAAGCTGGGTGGTTTGCCAAAACTGAAAATGTGTAAAACCAAGCTCCCCTGCACCCACCAAAATGCATGTGCCTTTTCCAATTGTTCTAAGAGCGCTTAGCTCCTTCATGGTCCGGCTCAGATAGGTAGGAATTGCCAGATTCGGGAAAAACCGCTCTTCTCAGTTGCCTCTTTGGACCCAGGAATAAAAGGGTTATCACCTTTGAACCAATCGGTTAAAAGGTCGGCTTTGGGCAAGTGAGTTGAAAGAGCCCTCTGCATGAGTTGTTGGTCAGTATCAGTTCGCTCACTTGATGAGGGGGTTGGCGAAGAGGAGCACCAGGGCGATCACCAATCCTGCGTCAACGGGTCACTCATTTCTTCGCTCAGTCGGCGAGAAAAAAGTAACACAAACCACATGGGTGTGTCTGTTGTTGAGGGCGCCCTTAAGGGAAACCCCCGTAAGAAAAGCCACTGTTCGATGTTGGTTTGGGGGGCAGCCCAAAAAACGACACACGCACATCGGGCAAAACTATGTGTTGAAGTGAAGGCGCCGTAAATTGTCAGGGACTCCATGAAGGCCAAGGACAGAAGCAGCACTCCGCGCAGGTCATCCGCGACCTCAGGCTGCCGGGAGATGCCGTCGATGCATCGGCCCGAGGCGATGCCCTGGCCGACTCCGGAGCCGATGGCTGCCTTACTTGCCAAAATAGCCTGGAAATAACAAGGTGATTGCCTTTGAAGGCCACTCAATTATGGACCGAAAAGGGAAAACCAATGGGCTACACAGACTGAGGTGCCAATCCGATGGCGAAGCCCGCCCCGATGGCGGACAGCGCAGGGATCCAAACAGAGCCATCCTCCGCGAAAGCCGCCTGTGGCGTCGCCAAGACTGCCGCGCTCAGGGCTGCCGCAGTGCCTGCGTTGGTGGCCGGGGCAGACACGGGAGCGCGGGCAACAGGCACAAATGCGCTGAAGAGTGCGCCCGAGCACAGCAGCACGGCACCGGTCAGCACCAGGGATCGAGCCATGATGACAATTGGACTGTGTCGAGGCACAAACGGCAGGCCAACTTCCAACTTGAACCAAAATGAAGAAGACCGCGTATCTGGGACAAAAGTACAGGGAATGTCAAACAAGTTGCAGCATTGCGGCACATCACTGCCCACGAGGCCCGATCTCATTCCTGGACAGTTGATCCCCTAAATGTTGCAGATGGAGCCAAATCACTAACAATGGCCGAATCCCAAATCTGAGTGGTTTCACAACCCAAAAAAAAGGGTAGACTCAGCTCACATGCATGTATTGTTCGTATTGTTCTCAGAGCGCCTAGCTCCAGCATGGTTGGCTCCGATCGGTAGGCATTGCCAGATTCTGGAAAACCGCTCTTCTCAGTTGCCCATGTTGGACCCAGGAATAAAAGGATCACCTTTGAACCAATCGGTTAAAAGGTCGGCTTTGGGCAAGTGAGTTGAAAGAGCCCTCTGCATGAGTTGTTGGTCAGTATCAGTGCGCTCACTTGATGAGGGGGTTGGCGAAGAGGAGCACCAGGGCGATCACCAATCCTGCGTCAAGTGGTCACTCATTTCTTTGCTCAGTCGGCGAGACAAAAGTAACACAAACACAATGGGTGTGACTGTTTTTAAGGGCACCCAGCTATTTGTTGTTGTTTGAGAGGGGAGGAAGCTCCCTTAAAAAATGACGCACTGGGCAAAACATGGCGAAACTATGTGTTGAAGTGAAGGCGCCGTAAATAGTCAAGGACTCCATGAAGGCCAAGGACAGCAGCAGCACTCCGCGCAGGTCATCCGCGACCTCAGGCTGCCGGGAGATGCCATCGATGCATCGGCCCGAGGCGATGCCCTGGCCGACTCCGGAGCCGATGGCTGCCTTACTTGCCAAAATAACCTGGAAATAACAAGGTGATCGCCTTTGAAGGCCACTCAATTATGGACCGAAAAGGGAAAACCAATGGGCTACACGGACTGAGATGCCAATCCGATGGCGAAGCCCGCCCCGATGGCGGACAGCGCAGGGATCCAAACAGAGCCATCCTCCGCGAAAGCCGCCTGTGGCGTCGCCAAGACTGCCGCGCTCAGGGCTGCCGCAGTGCCTGCGTTGGTGGCCGGGGCAGACACGGGAGCGCGGGCAACAGGCACAAATGCGCTGAAGAGTGCGCCCGAGCACAGCAGCACGGCACCGGTCAGCACCAGGGATCGAGCCATGATGACAATTGGACTGTGTCGAGGCACAAATGGCTGGCCAACTTCCAACTTGAACCACAATGGCCAGCAGCCATACCACAAACAAATGTGTCTTTCCGCGAGACGTCAAACATTTGGTGCCTCGTGGAGGTCGCAGGTATATATAAACCAATACGCATGCCGGACACCCGCGGAGCCAAAGCCTCCGAGAAAACAGCAAGCCCACCTCTCGAAGATGCTGGTGCATCGCCCGTCGGGCGCCGTGTCCAACTTCAGGAACTGCGAAGTGCAAGCGGGGGCGATGCTCACTCGCTCGTGTGGTGAGGTCATGTGGTATGGCGGTATCTGCATCCACTATACCTACTTGTACACCCCTTCAAACCCCCCTCAGTAAACCATCTACCCCACCAACTGACATGGAAGTTGCTTTATTAAAGCAAGAGGAGGCTCCCACCTAACAACATGGAAGCTCGGCCGATCCTGTAGATGGAACCAAGTCTTCCGGAGCTTCCATGTTAGCCTCCCATCTAACATGGAAGTGCACAAAGCCCCTTTCCAAGAAAAACGTAATCTTTCAGCCTGCGAACTGCCACGTTTTGGGAGCGCTCGCCCTCCAAGTAACAGAAGGCGGGAAGGTACCTGGATCATTTGCCTCTTGAAGGGAGCCTCTGACCGGTGGCATGTTAGTCGCGGGGGGGTTCTGAACCCCCTGGAAGGCTCAATGAGTGCGTCTTCTCTGACCATCTGTGGCTCTTAATCAAAACAAAGCGAGCCAAATTCAAAAGGAAGGGACCTTGTCATTTGAGAGCATCCTCACACCACAAGGGACCGGGTACTGAAACGCTGGAAGCAGCATATGGCAATTCTTGCTTGCCTGAGTTGAAGAGGGGGCAGGAAAGCGTGTCTGTCATCAATAAGGTCCCAACCCAATTTGTGAGGCCACCATGTGCCCAAACGGATTCCCCCAAAAACTCGCTTTCGCCACCAGACGATTCCACGGCCTCTCCATCCGCCGAATCCTGTCATGCGATGGAATCTTGTCGTGTTGACGCAAGGCGTGACAATCTTTTGATATTCCAAGAGCCAGCCTTTCATGAAGCTTCGCAAGTATCCTCAACAAAATATTGAGGTACAATTACACGCTGCGTGGACCGCCTTCGAGAAAGAAATCAGGAGGAAATTCAAAAGCACCACAGCAGCCTTGCATTTGGACGCACGTTTCCAGGTGGACATATGCCTGACACACCCCTAGCTGGCAATGGCTTCCACAATATCTCGACTCTGGAACAAAAGTGGAACATCAAGCAGCCGCCATTAAACACCATCAGCAAGCAGTGCTGAATAGCCCGAGCTTGGGGAGGGGAATCGAACTGCACTGTGGCCATGCATACCTGTCAATGTCTCCAGACTCCAACAACGTAATTAGTTGGCAGAGAGCCTCCGAACAGGGAATTGCGACAAACACATGGTGGGATTCCCTTTGGATTTTCTTATACCCCCAAACAAGGGCAATTGCCTCAACTGGAAGTACAGCACCCCCACGAAACCTGTGTAGAAGCCTGGGCTCAGATCCCCACCACTAAAACCTAAAAAAACACAACAAGAAGAACAAGACTGAAGGCCTACGGGTGCAGCCAACCGCAAGTAGTGGACCAGCAATTAGACTTTGAACATCCATACATCCATTAAACCCCACCACCGAGCCACCTTTAAATAAACAGCGAAAAACACGACACCGACTTTGCAAAAACGTGTTTTAACTTTGAGCAAAGACGCCCAACCCACAAAAAAACTAGAGGGAACCGGATGGCTAACCAGTCGCCCGCTCCTGGAACCCAGCCAACCGCAGCAGCTCTTTACCCGCGCCACCTCTGCGTGAGGTGGTGGGTGATGTGTCGAACCAGATGGGCGGCTCGTCTTCTTTGAGGTTCCCGTTTTTTTGTCCTGTGGTTTGAACCAGTGTCTGTGGTTTTTAAACGGAGATGGAAAAAGACAACCACCATTTTCTCTGGTTTTCAAGGGTCACTTTGTATGGTATCCTATTGCGCACTAACATGGAACCTCTGACGTTTCGGGGTCCCGGAAGACCATTTCCTTCAAAAGGGACCCTTTGGTGGGTTCCATGTTAGTGGATTGGGTGGCTTTTGTAGGGGCTAATAGGGTTCCTTTTGGGTGTCATTGTTTGACAACCATGCGAAGTTTTGTAGTTTGCAATGCTGTTTGGCATCAAAACCGTGCAATTGTGCTAGCATACCTGTAAATAGAAAAGAAAACTTCATCAGATACTTCCCTGCAGATTAACAGACCCACACAGGGAGGCGGGAGTTCGCAAAGGGAGATTCCTCTATGTGTTTGGGTCATGGTAATTGCGAAGACCAAATGCATCCTGAACGGCTGGAGGAGCGCATCCGACTCAGCCTTTCAGTCCGCTGAAAAAACAAACAGACCCTCCACTCGAGGGGTAAAGGAATTCCATTGGAGGGGGTTGCTGCTTGCCTGCTTGCTTGCCTGCCTGCCTGCCTGCCTGCTTCTTTGCTGGCTGGAACATGCGCGTGTTACCTGGGTTTTGTCTGTTTCTTTGTCGATCTGGAAAATTTAGGACATAAGGGCTGGATCACTCTGCGTGATGTGATAAGCCGCAGGGCACTGCAGCAACCTCTGTTCTGATTCTGGCTTCTTTCCAGCAATCTAATGACAATGGGAACTTGGCATCACTGCAGCGTCACACAAAAACGCAACCTGCCCATGATTCGCGTTCAGACGCTGACTACACCCATACTCAAGCACGAATGCACTGCACGGCCGGGTGCGCACCGGCCACATCCAGTAGCTTGCCGCTCAGGGCCGCGTTGGAGCATTTCAGCTGCCTGTCGGCGAAAACTGGAAGGGCGGGCATGTCGACTGGGCGTCTTGGAGCTGATGTAGGGTGTGTGTGTGTGTGTTTTTGGGGGGTAGCCTTTGGGTTGGTCGCCAGGGAAACATGAGACATTCGAGAGGTTTTCTCTAGCGTTGTTGCTTAGTGAGCCACAGGGACAACATGATGGGAGGGCGGCCGTAGCCTTGTAACGAAAATGGGGCCCACATGTCCCTCCAAATCTGCCAATAAATGAGTCAGGTCGGCATATAGCAAACAGCCAAAATATTGTGTCAGGCTAGTGGACATGCGATTCGTAATTTCCCATGGCAACACACAACATAACGCAAATAGCCAACCTTGAATCAGGCTGCCTATGTTGATGTACCAAATACCTCGACCACACAAAAACCATCGGCTCTCCCCTAACCACCTGAAGGCTGCTCTAAAATCCAAGGCTTACGAAGGGTCAACTGGTACCTGGTGCCCAAAATCATTTAGGAGAGAACATGGGGACACTTGGGCAGACATATGTCATTCCCCCCCCCACCAGGTTCTTTAGCGTCCCAAAGTCGGGGGCGATTGGCATCCGCTCTGACGGATAAAAACAATGAGTTCCTTTGTCTCCCAAAATCGGGACCGGGGCGGTTCGCATCTGCGCTGACGGATGACAAAAACCCAACATTATGTCACGTAAGCTCACCTGAATTTGGTCTCCTCAGGGTTCTGCAGCGTGTTGTCCAGCACCTGCGGGCATCCAACAAATGCAAAAAAACGTCACCACTTAGACTTCCAGGTCTCCATTGAGACTCATCAGGGCTGGTCGGCGGGCCTTCCGGAACAAGGACCTTTGATACAACAAAAGGCTCGGTACAAAGCCACACAGCAGGAAAGGAACACCTCCTTACTAGAGCTTGCAATTCAACAGCGCCCTGCCAAAGCCATGCGGCCCATCTCTCGTTTCCGTCAGTCATGGCCAACGATGGCGCATTTGCAGCATGTCCATTTCAAGATAAAACGCCTGACCTACTCGGTTGTATCAACATGCTCCGCGGCAAACCCTCAGAGAAGATTCGGACAGTTGATCTCCGAATCAGGGGGACCAAGTATCCCGAGAAGCGGCGTTCACGGGCCCGACGGGCCCAAGGGGCCCGGCGCCTGACGGGCCTGACGGGCCTGACGGGCCTGACGGGCCCAAAGGCTTCAGGGGCTTGACGGGTTTGACGGGCCCTTCGGGCCTCGTGTGTGACGGACTCAGCCTGACGGGACAACGGGCTCGACGGGCATGGGCTCCACGCGCTGGACGGGCTTTAGCGGAAAGATAGATCGTGAGAGATCTAGGCAGATAGATAGAACGATAGACAGATGGACCGATAGACAAGTGACAGAGATTTTGATAGACATCGGAGAGATAGTAGATTGATAGATAGAAAGATAGACAAATAATAAAAAATGGGTACCTTGGATAGATGATAGATAGATAAACAGGTAGGTGGACACAGACAGCTAATCTGACATCGATGGGTAGAAGTGAAGGATAGACAGAAAGAAAGATGGGTGGGTAGATGGGCAGGTAGATGGATAGATAGATAGATAGATAGATAGATAGATAAGTAGATCGAACAAGACATAAAGAGATACGCAGATAAATCGGTAGGACAGACTTGTAGACAGGAGGATGACAAGATACAGACAGAGGGAATAGAGAGAAAGATCGAATAGATTACATTACAAAATATGATGTATATAAGTAGATAGACAGATAGTTAATTTAGATTGACAAATCCCGAGAACTCTGAAGTCACACCAAACACAAGACTAAGTCTGTGAAGTGTGGCGCAGCACCGTTTCTCTTGCCTCCCTCCCTCCCTCACATGCTTGGGTGGCCTGGTGCCTTGGAAAAAAGGACCCTTAACTCAGGCTTCACTTAGGGGGATACACCCTTAGAGTAAAAGTGTCGAACTTGAGGGTCGCATGGGTGCTCTGAGTAGTCCGCACAAACAAGTTAGCTCGTCGGAAGCCAAGTTGGCTTGCCAGAAACCGGCAAACGTAGACTAGCAAAGTGTGAAGTGTGAAGTGTGGCGCAGCACCGTTTTCTCTGGTGCAAGTCTTGAGCCGACAAAGTGGCAGTGCATTACAACATAGGCAGGGGGAAAGTGTATACTTGGCAGAAACAATCAATCAATCAGTCAATCAACCAACCAATCAACCAACCAACCAACCAATCAATCAACCAGTCAACCAATCAACCAATCAACCAATCAACAATCACCCAATCAACCAATCAACCACTCAACCAATCAACCACTCAACCATCAACCAATCAATCAAATCAGTCAGTCAGTCAGTCAATCAATCAATCAACCAATCAAACAACCAATCAGGCAAACAGACAGACAGACGGACGGACAGACAGACAGACAGACAGCGCAAACGAACACACAAACAACCAAACACACAAACAAGCGAATAAAAAAAGAAAGAAAGAAAGAAAGAAAGAAAGAAAGAAAGAAATAATTAAAGAAAGAAAGAAAGAAAGAAATAATTAAAGAAAGAAAGAAAGAAAGAAAGAAAGAAAGAAAGAAGAAAGAAATAAATAAAGAAAGAAAGAAGAAAGAAAGAAATAAAGAAAGAAAGAAAGAAAGAAAGAAACACAAAAGAAAGAAATAAAGAAAGACAGAAAGAAAGAAAGACAGAAAGAAAGAAATAAATAAAGAAAGAAATAAAGAAACACACACACACACACACAAACATCTGAGGCGCTGTGACACAAGCTCTACAACGTCTGGCCAACTTATCACAGATCAGCGCCTTTCTTGATAGCAAAGGTTGCTTACTTTCCCCTCATTCAAAACATGACTCTACAGTCCGTCTCTTGCACTGGGTCAAACGGCCAGGGCCTGCACATCTGGCGCATCATGTTTTTTTGGTCGCGCGATGAAACAGGTGAGATGGTGGTTCTTTCCCCACCGGTTGCCTCTAAAATGCCATGAAGGTGTTTTCCGACGATTGCTGTTGCGAAGACAATCAGAATACATACTCGCATGTCATCACATGTCCATCAGCTCAGCATGCTTCATTGCAGCAAACCGTTTGCTCAACGTATTGTGGGATTCCTGTGTGATGCCCATTGTCAACCTCTCAAATTGTAAGAAGATGCAGCTGCAAACAACATGTGCTGAAGTTCAACAGCTCTCCTGCAAAGGCTGTGGTCCTTTATGATGTTCAAATATCGCAGAAGGGCAATGCCATGTGACCATTTGGACGCATAGATGGCCCTCGTAAAATAGCACCCATCTACGAGATCTATTCCAGTGGAACCCATCCTTTTCAAACCAAACTGGCATACAAAGGACACCTGGCACTGCGCCCTTCAATCTCCACGTCTCCGGCATGGCCCGTCTAATCCGAATGCCGGTTCCGCCGATTTGGTTTCTCTTGCGGCGCCTTTGGCCGCTCGTTCGCAAGAAGGAAAACGCTTCATAGGTTTGCCTGGAAAGGACATGGACCCCACAAAATGTTGTGGTTCCTCTTTGGTTTTACCCCTACCAGGCAAAAGGGGGCTTTCCCCCAAAACCGCAAAAAAAAAGGCACATGGGCGATCTCCCGAAGCGCAAGCTAAGCCAAGGAAGACTTCAGGGAGTTCAGCTTCTCGACCAGCTGCTTCACCTGGCACCAAAATGGTCGAATTAGAGCCATGTAAAGAACTAAGAAGGCCGCAGCTCTGAATGGCTGGGATTCTGCCTTACTACCCTCCAATTACCCGAATCGGTTTTCATTGTGGCTCTCATGGATTGCATCCTCAATCAAGATCGACCCTTCCTGGTACTATTCGTCTTGGGCCTAGACGCATTGGGTTTCTATAGTGGCGAGTTCCTCTCTATTTTCCCAACAGCGGGTCTCAAAAAGCAAACCCCGGCTCTGAGTCTGTCTTGGTCTGCCACTGTTTTTGGGACCAATTTGGCTCCCATGCCTCGGTCAGCATTTTGTCCCATGCTTTCTTTGATGTTTGTTTCAAAATCAACGTGGGATGCGTCAAACATGAACTCCGGATGAGTGCGCTGTGAATACTGCAATATGGTTCATGCTCTGATGTCCAACATATACCTAGAAAACCCGGAATGGATAATTTCCGCCTTTTGCCGTAACTACATAAATGTTAGTCGTTTCCATCAAGAAACGCCTTTTCCTTCAAAAAGCGCCTTTGGGACACCTGCCTAGAACAGGGTTCGGCAAAAACGCCTTTGTATCGCCAAAAACGCTTTGGTATCGGGGAAAAACGCCTCCGCCAGTTTGTTGCATACATCCCAAAAACAAAACTCAGGAAAATTGCCTCCAAGCAAAAATATGATGACCTTCCCTGAAAAAGCAGTTTCCCATGAAAAGGCAGAAAAAATCGGACTTAGGAAGATCCAGGTATATATATATATATATATATATGTGTGTGTTCGTATCGTTTGTTGTGCGCAAGACGTGCATGGTACAACCTTGGTCCTCACCCCTCACGAGGTGCTTACAATTGGCAAATGCCCAATCTTGCTGAATAAAATCGATGCCTGTAAACTTCAGGCCCAAGGCAACTGCAGAAACCCTTCCAAAGAACAACTCTTTGAACTTTTCATTGAATTAAAAAAAAGGGTTAAATGACAGTTTTGGGTTTCTGTGTCACATGCAGGAAGGTAAACTCGTGCACGCGCATCCTCATGTACAACTCCCCAAACACCATGCCAACTTTTCCCCAAACATCACCAAACCTTTCGTTGATATTGGTCATTCCGCATCCACCAGCGCATACCTTCTTATGTTGCATTGGGGTCCACCGTTTGCAATGCGCGCTCCAAAGTCAGCCGGGGCAGTGTCTTTGCCTTCGCCTTGGGTGAAGTGAAGCTGGATGGTTATCTGTATCGAGTTTACGTCTTGTGTGTCTCCATAAAACTGTAAAAATCTGAAACATCGTGCTGCTCGAATTGGTGGCCACACTTTGCCAAGTAGGCCACTTCTGCAGTCTGGGATGCGCCAAGCCCGCCATTCTTGCGAGCCTCCTTGACAGAGGTCTCGTTTGAGAGCTCATGCCACGGGAGTTTCCCACATCCCACTCTGTCTTTGAAATAAAACACGTGCAACATTTGGCCAAGCTCCACTGCAGTATCCACATTCTGCTTCCAGGCATGAAACCATTGGCAACCCCAAGGTGCAACGGCATTCACTTCGTCACACCTGCTCTTCGCCAAACTCTCTGCGTCTCTCTTGTCCTTTTGCCATTGCTCATCGCTTTGGCCGACTCTCTTCAGGAATATCTGCCCCATGGCCCTTGCATCGGTCTCTTTGAACTGGAGATCATCCTCAGTCATGGTTTCCGGGTCTTCCACTATGCTGATGTAAGCTGCTGCCGGCACCTGGCCATACAGCGACCTGCACCAACACTCGCCCGGCTTCTCCGGATTCTCGGTGTGCGCGCCTAGCCCAGACTCCCGGTCCGTCAGAAACACGCAAGCAAGGCTGCAGGCGCCAGAACGTACTTCAACCATGCGCACAGCAGCATCCCATTCCTAGGCACAAAAACAAACCACCTTGTATTAAATTCCCTCCAGCCAACATGGAAGTGCACAGAACACACATGTCCTTAAAGGAAAGTAGTATTCCAAAAGCGTTCTCTGCAACCGATGCCATGTTTGGTGCCATGCTTTTGGTTTCAAAGCATATCTCATGAATCTGCCGCCCCAAAGGTTTAAAGTCTTGGGAAGGTTCGCTGCAGTCGAACCTCTAAAAGGACCTATGGCCCAGGGATTTAGGATACTCCAAGCCCTTCAGACATCAGCTCTCCCTCGAACAGCACCCAGCCAGCCGACCTTTCGGGGTTGAAGCGCGTTAACGACACAAATATTTTGCCACGCCCGCAAAGCATTGTGGGTATGGGTCAAAATTAGACCAGGGGACCGCAGGTTTTAGCCCTTGTTTCCATTTACCAGGGTTCCATTTTGGGTACCTATTTCTGACCCACACCCACATTCATATGGAAGCCTCATCTTTTTGAGGTTGGCACCCCCCCCGGCAAACAGAAAGCCTTCGGTTTTCCTTTTGGTCTTGCTGGAGACCCATATGTGACGTGTTTTTGTTTCTGTCCACACGGCTTGGGCCACAAAAAATGGCCATACGGTCATCGACGTGTTGTCAACATTTTGTTGAACAAACTGATGCTGCATAAGTCCGGCCAACTACGACCACCGGCCAACAAAAAAGGCCATACGGGGAAAAGAGGTTGCGTCAAAAACACAACATGCCATACGGCTTTCCAGGTCCCTTTAAAACCACCAAACCACGGGTACCGAGCCTCAAAAACAGACGAGCTTGTTCTGCGCTGGGTCCAGACAGGAGCCGGTTGCGGACTTTTGAAGCCTTCGGAAGCCTAGGTCATCCCTTCGACCCCGTCCGTGTATCTCTACTGTCTTCCTTTTAACCCGAGAGATCGCTTCACGTCCAAATACTTCAATCTAATTAGAGGGTTAAAGTTGGAACAACCATATCTTTGTATGACCAGCCCTAACCCCAAGTAAACGGGCCCTTCTGACCAAGGCACATTTGCATACTTGCCAGGAAAACTGACAATGCAGTGCTTTGAGTTCAGGTTCACCCTCCCGGGGAACGCGATGCGCCTCCCCTGTGTGAGAGCCATGTACGCGAGCTCCTGCAAAACCTCTTCCTCCAACATCTCTGTTGGTCCTATCAGGCCACTGAGGACAAGAACAGACACCAGCACCAAGCTGTTGTCGAAGGTAAGGAAAAGGGCCGGACTTAGTCCCACCTCATGGCCATAGAACTCCACAAAGGGCAAGTAGATGGCATCCACCAGAAGCAGGGAGGCGCCGAGACTCAAGAAACGTACACTCCTGGAAGCCTGTCTGACCAAATCGTGATCTTTCGCCTTCATACTCATACGGATCAGCATTCGTTGCTTGATGGTGGCTTCGTACAACAAAATCAAAACGGTCACTGCTGTGATCAGGCCTAGACTGGCCAACAAAAGAACTACGACTGCGAGATTCTGAACGAAGTCTTGTACCAGCGGGCTCTGGCTCTCCCTCAGGGCGGACCTGCAAAAATAGAGGCCGGCCCAGCAAAACCAAGTCCGTCTGAAGCGTGCTGCTGTTCGTGGCCACCCTAAGACTTCGAGCTTGACGTGTGTGACAAGCGTTTGCCCCAATCGGGACAACCAGCAGAACCCCATCAGAAGGCCACCAAACTCCACTGAGTTGTCTGCATAACCCGTGCTGACAAGCAGCTCCATGAAACAGGACAGGGTCATAGGATATAAGCAACTAAGAAGGCTCACATTGTGCAGGCTGGACTTCGGGTTGTAGCGGAAGAAAAATGGCACCAAACATACAGCCGCCACTGCGGGCCGAGCAAAGCCATCTACCAGTTGGAACGAGATGGGAAGGCCGCCATAGAATACACTCAGATCGATCTCAGGGTTCAGAATGGCATCAAGATTCACTGTGACCCTCGTCAGGGTGACGACAACAACGCAGAACACGCAAAGAATCGGCAAACCGCCCCTTTTAAGGCGTATATGAATCCGCCAGCAACATGAGGAGAAACAGCCCGAAGGGAGCTTCTCTTCAACGTCCTCCTCAGGGAAAATCCTCATGGGAGCTTCTGCATGGCACTGCGGCTCCTTCTACAGAAAAAGCCACAGGATCAGTCCATCACAGTGGAGTGTCAAAACAAAACACAAAACTTGTTGTTTGCCACCAACATGGTCCAAACCCAAAGAGTTGAAACAAATCCAGGCACTCGGAAGCGAGCAGTGTTGCGATACCGTGGAAAGTCAACTTCGTGAACCAGTGCTAGAATCTGGATGACATCCGCTGAAGTTGTCTGTCATGTCCAAATATGAGTCGAAAGCTGCAGCAAACACGGATGGTACCAGCCCCTTAGTCCATTCGCTGGCTGCCCGCAATGGACATTTTATGCAATCCCTCAGAACCCGTAGCATCACCCATCCAGTTTCCAACCCTACGACCAGATGTGGACAATTCCTTCATCCAAGGGAAGAGACATCTGCCCAAATGCGGCGTTCGCAACACCCTCCCAACATGAAACCTCCATTCAGCCCTGAAGACCAAATTCCCATCGGGACGGAACCAGGCGGGCTCCGTGTTGGTGGGTTGGGGGAGTCAACTCAGTCTTCATATTGGCCTGGTGGCTTGGTGGCTTCATACTGTGAATGGAGAAAATCCTGCGCCACCAAAGAAACCCTGGAATGAATCGATTTCCCTGCAAATACCAACAAACTTGATGGTTGCAACCATGGTTTCAAAGCGGTGCGAACGGATTTCGTCCATCCACACTTTAGTCTCTTTGAGCCCATTCTGTCCGCCTACGGCCGGGCGGCCGATGCAAGCCGTGTAATGTCCCCCTGAGATTATACACCTGATTTGAGACGGCACACCCGTGTAAATTGTGATAGGGGACCCTTTGGTGGGCATCATTTAGCTGGGGATGCATGTCCCACCACTTGCGAGGTTGCTCCGCGTTAAATTCATCGGCATCAACACTTGAAAGGCAATGCCAATGTGTGCCATGGCCCCCAAAGGGGACTACCCCATTTTGCCTTTACATGCAGCCTGGCACTTCAAGAACGGTGCATTGCGTTTGCGATCGCAATGTTTGACTTGAGACTGATGGCAGCCATCTAGATTCGAAGGAAACATTCGGGAGATAGGAAGTGTGCTTGTTCAAGCTCGCTCTTTCTGTGAACATCAAAACCACAGAGTCTTTCGATGTCTTTCGGCTTCTGATTCTTGGGTTCCAACCATTGGCCTTGTAAGATTCATCGCAAGCTCCCATGTATAAGAGACATGTTGTGCCAAGCAAAGTTACCTGCTCCAAGGGACCAAATGCTGGCCAAACCAGACTGCGACAAGAACACTTCGGCGTAGAAGGCCCAGAAGGTTTGCAAACACCTGGGTTGGTCTTGGATACCCGTGCCCCACGCTGTTCACCAGTCAGCGGAAAACATGTCCAAAGAAGCAGGCTAAAGGTCAAACCAAAGCGCGATCACAAGCAACATGGCACCATTCCCACCCCCCGCCCCCCCATGACCCCCATGTTGCCGCAGGCAACCCCCCCCCGTCTACCCAACATGTTGTGAACATTAAATGGGCATACCCGTTTTTACATGTCCCGCGTATCGGCCCGCTCGCCTCAGCGTGCTCATTGATTTGCTTCCCACTGAGACCCTCAGCCTTCAGCTTCTCCTAAATGAAGAACGTTGTGTCTTCCCGGGTGTTCCGTGATTCCGTGACCACATTTTCTCTTTCAACTGGGGTACCAACTCAAGTGGGATATATCAGAAACAGAAACCCCTGTAATTCTATGTATGTATATAATTATTTACGATGCAGGCTCGCGGTTCGCCGACCTACACCCCTCATTTCGGACCAACTGTTTGCCAAACTCCTGGACTTCGTGTGTGGCAACCCCGAATCGCATTGAAAGTTGGTGAACATGCGCGCCGGTTTGTATCCCGTGGCTTCCTTCTGCATGATCGAAGCAGTCTACAATTATGTGTCCACAGGAAAGCGAGCAAGCAAGCAAGCAAGCAAGCAAGCAAGCCAGCCAGCCAGCCAGCCAGCCAGCCAGCAAGCCAGCAAGCAAGCAGCCAACCTTCTTCCGCACGGCTGAGAGGATCAATCAGCGCCACATGTTGTTCGGGGGCTACTCACCAAACAAACACGCAATCACGAGATCCATGTGCGTTTACATAGCTTAGCGCTTATTTACCTTGTTGTGACCAAACTAAGTTTACAAGTTTGCCAAGTACGTTGACACAGTCCCTAGCCAAGTAGCGGTTTAAGTGCGTAACCCCAAAGGAACAACCACAACGGTCAAGCAAATTGCCCTGCCGACGCCACCAGTAGGAACAGCAATTTTGCATGTTGCATATAATATCCGCCGACAACAGGGGGCGTGTTGGACACAACGAGTGCTCCTTGCCTCCCCATTTCGTAGACTAAATCCTTTCGTACCAGGAGGGACATGGCAACAAAAGTTTTTGGGTGTCTCCCGACTTGTACCTTCCCCCAGTTCACGCCTCGCTTATATCATCCTGCGAAACCCAAACTGCTCACATAAAGCTTCACAATATGTTTCACACAGTCCGTCGCAACCCACAACATAACATGTTCAATAGATAGCGTTTTCTGATAAACGCCCAGTTCAAACGACTCTGTAGTTCACGAAAATACTCGTCGACGTGGTTCACGTTGTCAAATGTCCAGACCAGTTAGGCTGTGTAACTATGAGCCCGCAAACTTCACAACCTACATCAATTTCCATTCTGCATTTTTCATATAAGCAGTTCTTCACAGTGCTCAGCATAATATTTCCTACCCTCCCCTTTGGCTTTCTCAGGGTTATTTGCCCTATATTTCCCCTTTCTGTACAGTCTATACACCAAGCTTCCCAAGGAAGGTTTGTCAATTGCATTTGTTCTTTTCAGGTTCTTCCATCCGTACTATAGTTGCTTAGCTTCTCTTAGCGCTTCTGTTTAGGCCTAAGCCATCCTAATCATAGACACCCAAGCTACCTAAACCACCCCTAAATATAACACTAGAATTCTACCGAAAACTTTACAATGTGTTCATTGCAAGGCGTATGGGTTAAACGGTTACATTCGCTCTCCAAGGAAAATTGTATGCCATAGCTGTTATTGCAAACGCGACCATATCTAAATCTAACTCTTCATTTTCTGCTAAAAACATTTAGCGCCGAACAGTAAAAACTGCTGTCAGCATTCTCAATACCAAGTGGTGTTTCGTATTGGATTGAACACAATTTACCAAATTGAAGACCGTCACTGTCAGCAGCTTCCAAATAAATAGAGGATGTTCTCCCCCACGTTATGTTGAATTACTTTCAGACCACTAGTCATAGTGCAAGTAGATCACGAAATGTGGGTGGAGAGGCAGACCGCCTGCAAGTGGGCAACATAAAATTCCACATCACAGGGATATGTTCTCTAGCTTCTATGCTTTCTGGTGGCATGCATCAATGGTATGGCAGGGAGTAAGAGAAAAACCTGTTCTAGGTCACCAAAACAGTTGCTGATACGTAGCTATCTTATGGTCAACCGCAGGAAAAACACATGCCCGACAAACAAGAAAGGATGGAACGTAGATATGTTCTGCGCTACATGCAAACACTGCTTTTTGATGGAGCAAGACAGATTTCACTGAAGCGCTGGCTAAACTCTCTATGCTAACCAGTAGCAACCCAGCAGCCTGATGACACTGCTGCACGTTGGCCCTTCAACATATGCAGCTGTATGCCAAAGCCACGGGCACACACACATATTCTATCCTATTCTACTCCAGAACAAAAACCATAGAGAGTGTGACGCGCAAGGCAAGCCACAAGAATACTACACTCAACAGCGCCTACAACCAACATGCATGGAATCTGTTTTCAAGACTGTACCCCGTGCAACCAAGCCCCTTTTTGCCACATGTGCTCCTGCATTGAAGGTCAGCAACCAATGATTTTGCTAGTCGCAGGTATTCATTTAGCTATCACAGCTTTTAGCAACCACTTCAATTGTGCATGGTCAGTGGCACAAGAGGCTTGCCACTATGGTGCTGTTCATGGAAATGCCCAAGCAGCCAAACACTAGCCAAGCGCGCAAACTTTAGAAATGCGTAGCTCAATGCGTACATGTAGTGACCCAATCCATAAATTCAACCCTAAGCAGCTGAATCACATGCAACTTCATGGAAGCTGTTTAAGCAAACAGGACATCCTTGAACCGGGCCAATAAAGGGCCAGCGACTCAAATCCTGGCATATCTACTGGGTTCCAGGGCCGAGTCTAGCGATTCGGGGGGGAGGGGGTTGGCCTTCATATTGCATAATATGCATTCCCCTAACATAGGGATAACCAGGCCCCGTACAGGCGCCCTTCTGAAAATGACGCTTTCCTTGCAGTTTTACCCTGCTATTGATGCGTAATTTAAGATAGGTTCTATTCTTCCTTGCTTGAAGCGTGATGCCATTTTAACCTCAAGTTCATGATCTTTCAATCTTGCCTGCGCTGGAGTCTTTGGGCAACTTTCCCAAATGAACCAGAAAATTGCAAGCACAAACCTTCGAATCCCCAGCTAGGACAAAACCCTGAAAAACGGGAGCAAACAGGGTCAACCGAAAGGCCCCGCTTTGTGTCTTGTGGGGGCCTTGACCGAGGAAGGTGGAAACAAAAACCTACAGGCATCCCCAGCTAAGAAACACCCATAACTGTACTTGTACGACATATAAGACAGCAGGCCTGTACTATCGGCGGGTCTCTGAGGCGTTAAAGTATGAAATGCAACAAGAATAATTGCCCAAGAAGGTAGGTCCCATGAGCTTCCATGTTGAATGGACACTCACCAGTTCCCATGGCAGGGTCAAGTAAGGCTTGGGGCAACGGATGACAAACGTGGAACTGCCAGTGACGATGTTCTACTGGCTCATGTGCATTTTCAGCTTCATCTTCTCTTCTCATAGAGGCTGTGCCCGAGGGAATAGAGCCCTGTACGAACCTAGGACCCAACTCACATGTCATTCATCCATCCTTCCGGCGTTCTAAAAGAGGGGAAAGTGAGTCAGGAATCAGGAAGCCAGTTTCTTATACCCTTTCTCCCTAATAGTAACGAAAGGCCCCCCCCAAACAAAAAACATCCCTGCCGGCAACAAATTTGTATTGTTGAAGGGTCTCTGGTTCTGGAGGGCAGGTTTTGGAGGTCCCTCTTGTTCTTTGTAAGCTTTGCTGCAACTGCTGCAAAGTTGCATCAAATGGTCATTTCCGAGTAAGGAATTTAAACAGCATAAGTCGGGGTCACGTTTGGCTTTCTTTGTTGTGGGCTCTTCTGCACTGTGGTACCCCTTTTCCGGGCTGCAAAATCGCAACTTTGTAGTACAGCCGTTGTAAAGGAAACGTACTCCCGGAGCAGCGTGCTCCCGGAGCTCCGGCTCGAAAGTCGCAAGTAAAAGAAACGTACTCCCGGGTGCCCCTAATAGGGCTGGATCTGAGTACGAGCAGGAAAATACCTACGTTAGAATTGGTTTAGCATTTGCCTATTCCAAAAGTTAATATAGGGAAAGGATTACTCAGGAGGACGTCTCAAGGCAGAACTGCGACACATCGCTAGGGGTCGGGCACTCAACAGCCGGCTGCTGACACGCATGAAAGAGTGATACATTTCTTCTTGGGGGGACTCAGACCGTGAGGCCTTCCCATTCCCTTCCGCAAACGCTTCTGTTGCAATCGCTTGGATCTGCGATAAGTCCCGCTCCTTCAGAGCGCGCACCGCATCGCCAGCCGCCTGCAGCTCTGCTTTCGAAAAGACGAGACTCGGTAGATTCATTTCTCGGCTCGAACCCAATGGTAAACCGGCTTTCCTTTCGGTTCTCCTTCAAAACCAGAAGGGGGCGTACCCTCAAGAAAAGACAGAGCCAAACAGATACCAACAAGCCCTGATCCGAAGCCTCCAACATAATGGTACTAGAGTCTGCCCAAGTCAATTCGCCTAGAACATTTTCCTAGGGTCGTATGATGGCTCGGATGCCTTCTTGATTCCAAACAGCATGAATTCCAATGATTTTCTGTTGAAGAACAATCAGTCAAGTAATTCAGCAACCAAGCATGCTCCGCAAAGGCCAAATTTGGGCTCTGCACGCTTTGCACTGACTGTGACTTTGGTGGAAAACACTGTGGCGCCAAGCAAAACAATTACTTTACGCGTAGCGTAGATTGTGACATGCGGTTTACGACAAGGGCGGAGCAAACAGGGTTCCCTCCCAACCAAGAGGATTATGCGAAATCAAAGTCATGTGCTTTGCTCATCTTTGCTCCCACCCTGAGAACAACCCCCAACCTGTCATGTCGACCCCAGTAAATTGGTTAACCCCGGTTGATTACCAGGGGTGTAACTCATTTTAGCAGCCAGGCTTTGCTTGAATCCGGGTCACTAAAACCCAGATCCATTTTCGGGCGTGCTGTCGATGCTCCCATTCACACCCAAAGACCCCAACACATAGGGCGGTCCTCTTGCCACCTTTTTCGGGACATGGGTTCCATTTCTCTAGCAATCCTTTCCCACATACCATGTCCACACACACACACACACGGGACACACGGGGTCTGTCTTGTTTTAGGGGACCCCCCAAAAAATGTTATTTTCCCTTAAACCACCCCGGAACGGGTACCTTCAACATAAGGCAGACCCACATGTTTCCAATAAGTCTCCAAGTTCAAGACCACTCAGTTTTGCGGCTGCAGCTCTGACTCACTTCCGAAGGAGTGGAGTGGCCAAAAAAGGTCTGAACTGGTTTACCCCTAACATGGTCCAACCCCAAAAGTGACGAAAGTCCGAAACAAAATTCAGGGAGTGAGATAACATCCATCTGCTCAAGACAAAAACCGAAGCTCTAAAACCCGTCAACCCGTCAAACGCGAAGCCGAAGCCCCGACGCCGCCTTCACGTCCGCCTCTGACACGGTCGCCGCTTTTGGCGCCGCCGCGGGCGCCGCGGGCGCCGCGGCGCCGGACTCAAGGGGCTTCGTGGATCAGAACGCTTGGTTTCCCGTTGAATGAGAGGATAACCCTATGTCGATCTATTTTGAGCACCTCTTAAAGTAGGATTCCCTAGAACGCTTTGGTGTCCCTGTTAAATTCAAGACCCTACTGTTGGAGCCATGTTGCAATCTAACCAGCGGCCATCGAGAGACGTACCAGCAAGAACAGAAGCCTCCTATGGCTCCCCTTGATGTGGTACTGAATCAGTATTGGATATACCACGCTTCTGCACTAACGATTATTGCATGTGACCAGGCAGAACTAGTCATTTCGAAGAAATGTTCATTCATGATGTGAATAGTGTAGATGCTGATGTGTCTTGTTGCGAGATTTGCCTCCAGGGTGCGTCTTAACATAGGGGACCCCCAAGAATGGGCATCAGTTCTCCTTTTGGTGTCCTTTTAAAACAACAAAAAGCAGAGGGGAACCACCCCTGCGTTTAATTCTACCCGTAGTCCAAAAAAGGAAGCCCGGACTAAAGGTATACCGTAATACCCTTCCTTCAAGAACGAACCCCGCAAATAGGGTGTCTTAAAATAGAGGACCCCCCCCGCAAAAAAAGCGAGGTGTTCCTGGTGGTGTCCCTTTTAAAACATCCGAAAGGTGTACACTTTACTCACAGACAATGCCATACTGTGGATGGACGAAATCCATTTCGCACCACGGTTCAGAAACCCTGTTTTTGATGATTCCCCTGCAAATGCTAACACACTTTCTGGTTGCAAAGTGGTTTCAATTCCATTGCAAAACAAATCCTGCAACCCAACAAACAATGGGTTCTTCTGGTTTCCTAGGTGGTGCGAGAAGCGGATTTCGCAACCATCCGTAGGAACCCATCCGCGCCTTCAGCGCATTCAGCTGCTCCACAAGCTTCAGCACCTCGGTTCTCAGGCGGTTTTCGGGGGACGGGAACTCGGCTGCAACGAGCCCTCTGCAAAAAGCTTCACTCGCCGTTTTGTGGCTCCAAAAAAGCTTCAACGAAAAGCTTCAACAAAAATCCGAACAAATAAAGTCTCAACGAAAAGGTGAAAGTCCAAAGATCCGTTACCAAATAGCCATAAAGTAGAAGGGGCTCCTGTTTTGATGCTGCTGACCAGTGTACTTTTTCTGGGCGGACACCGAAATGGGTCCATATCAGATTGGGGAACCTCCCAGAAAAGTGAAGTTCTAATCCGGCCCTTTGGGACGGCAAAGGGAATTCACCCATAAGCAAAAAATCATCTTTGTAGGTACCCCCCAGTTTTGAAAACACCCAAGCTGGCAAAGTGTGTTCCTTCAAAAGGCAACTTGCTTTCAATGGAACTGCACTCAGTTTGGGTACATGAATCCAACATGGGAACCCAGAATCAATATTCCAGCCTGGAAGAAATCCGGATAACTCTTGGAAAGAACACCCTTGAGATTTTATTGGTGCTCAGGATTTGACGCTGTGCCTTGAAAAGCCTCGTGGTGCACATCTTGAGTACCATCCGAGCATCAACCAAGTTGCCATGTGGTTCCGTGTGTGCGACTCGTTCCGCGAGTCAAAAACATAGATCCGTCCCTATCCCATGGGTCCCATGCGTCCCATGGGTCCCATAGGTCCATGGGTCCCATGGGTCCCATGGGTCCCATGGGTCCCATGGGTCCCATGGGTCCCATCCTCGCATCTTCCCCGCCTCTGGGTGGGTGTTGACCTGCTTCCCGCTGAGCCCGTCAGCCTTCAGCTTCTCCTTTCTGGGCTTCCAAGCCATGGGATCTCACGGGAAGAATCTCTGGCCGCACGAAGAAAAGCCGAAACCAGGGCCATGATTGAAACAAACAGTTCTGAACCACATGGGTTTCTCGAAAATGAAAAGGCCCATGCCAAGCTGATTCTAAACATGACTCCTACATTCAGGGTTCGGCAACACATGCTGCAACCTGACCTTGGCCTTTGAAAGGAAGCCGGAAGGATGGCCTAACCTTACCACCAAACGGAGCTCATTTTGGGGTTGGTCCGAATCCAGCGCGTCCCAGTGACCCAGACATCAGAGGGTGAAGTCCTTGAGCGCTCGAACAGCATCTCCCGCTGCCTGGCGCACATGGCGCGCCAAAGATAGCCCTAACCCCGGAGGAGTTGACCTGCGTCATAATCAAATCTGGTATTAAAATGGTCTACCCAGAAACATGTAAAGAATTGAAGGGGGTGTCTGTTTTTGAGGGTACCCTTTTTGGAGTGGCTGTAAAGGGAAACCTACAGGAAAACCACCATTTTGGGGCCTCCCCCAACATTACACCAGCATGGATCCCAAGTAGCATAGAAGATGGAAAAAACACCCCAGCACCGTGACTGCAAACAAGCTCCGCCAAACCAGGCAACCACCGACACCAAACAGCACCCTGGTCAGCACCCGCAACAGCATCCGGGCTGCGTCACAAAACAAGCACCGCCAGTAAGAACCACACCAGCACCTGAAGCACACAACAGCACCCTGACCAGTACCTTCACCAGCACCTATAGTACTCACCTGGCCCGATTTCGCAAAACATCTTCGGAAGTAAGAACCCTTTGTAGCTGGGGAAAAAAACAGACCCAGCTGGCAGATGAATAGGAGGATTCCCCAAAAGTGAAGAAAGGGACACCCCCCATTAGTCAACCAAAGCTTTGCTACATAATCAGGATCCCAGTAGCCTGGAGTGAGGCCCTGTATTTCCTTGTTCACATCTGATTGACCTTGAATGCAGGCACAATGGCCCAGCGGAGCAACCGCAAACGAATGACATGATGAACATATATTCCCTACTTGGCCTACGGTTTTCTTGTGTTGACTGCCATTGTCAGCTAGGTCCACTAGAAACGACAATGGGCCGGGCTGATTTCTTCGGTCGACTCTCCCAAGCTTTGCACAAGATTGGCTTGGCTCTTGACACAATCAAAGCGGTTGTTTGAACCGCCCTCAGGCTACGTACATGGTCCTTGTCAAAATGTTCACAACAATGGGCTTCCCCCCGATGGCATCATGCAGTTCACATGTACATCGGACTTGGTTGGCTGGCTTCCTCCAGAAGTACTTCGACTGAACAAATGGGTGTGACTTTCTTTATGGTACCCCCTTGTTTGGTGGTTTTGAAGGGAAACCGAAAGGAAAACCCCTAAGACACACCCAATGAGAATCCTTTGCAATCAGTTGTGATGGCTCAGGGGAGAACCCACATGCGGGCGCTTCCTAATATTGGGGCGCACACCCCCAAATTCTTAGGTCGCCTTGAGGTTTCCCTTTGAGCAACAAGAAGGCTTGGTGCTCCCTAGACGACCTCCATTCGGCATGAGTGACTCATGACCATAAGTGACCTTTTTGACAACTATTCCTGGATTTCCCTGGTTTATCTGGTTAAAACCAATTTCCAAACTGGCAAGCCCGTCCATGTCCAACCAAACTGACCCAAGAAGGACGCCTACGCTCACCCTTTGCGTCGCGCCTTCACTTCAGCATCCGAAGCGCCGCCAGCGGCCGGCTGGGCTTTGGGCTCAGCCTTGGGCTCCGCCTGGACGCTTTTCGTTGAGGCCATGGGTGGCTCGTCTTTGAGGTGGTGCCCTCTTGTTTGTGGGACTTCTAAAGACAAAAGGAACCAAAAGGAAGCAAAAGAGAAAAGGGACCCCTTTTTGTGGTTTTCAAAACGAAACCAAAAGAAAAACCAACCAATTTGTGGGACTCCTAAAAAAGCACACACCAATATAGCCCGTTGCAGAAGGGGTACATGATGGCTGCATGGTAGATGCATAACTAGGGCTTGTTTCCTAGGATCCAGAAGCACCTTTCAATCCGGCAAAGAGCTGCGATCTCAGTGCTATCGCTCTTTCAATTCGTGGAACCCACCAAATGTGTCCTTTGAAAGCATAGGTGGAATTTCACAGGTTGCAGATCATTACAGTATAGCCTCTGACAGTTTGTAGCCATGGTTACACGTCAAACCAACCCCCGCTGTCCCACTTACGAGCAAGAGCAATCAGAAGAAATCAATCGAAACCGGCATTCACCTGCGTGCTAAGAGAACTGCGAAACAAGTGAGGGTTGAGCCTCCCTCCATACTATACATGACTTCCCTTGTATCCACGAAAACATATATTGATTAATGTGGACCCCGGATTGGTGAACCCGTCCTAGTACTAGGGCCCTGTTCCCGAGATGAATCCCCACTAAAAGGGGTGTTCCCCCAACAAAGAGCAGCAGCATCCCCTCTAAAATGAGACACCGGGCCCCTCACTTCACTTCATCAACCACGGTTCTTGATCACCAAGCGTTCCATTTCCCAGTTCAAGGTCCAACCAGGTCCTTTTGACCCAGGCAGACCCCACGAAAGGCCTTTTTCGCCTCCTTCTTGGGTTCCGCCTTCTTTGCCTCTTTCGGCTCTGCCTTCTTTGGCTCCTGGCCAGAGCGAGTTCCAAACCAAAGAACTGCCGTGGATGGACAAATCCCCCCACTTCTCACACCCTGGAAGGATTCGATTCCCAGAGTAAATACCAAAAGTACCAACAAACCATGGTTTCCCTTCGTTACCAAGTGGTGCGAACGGATTGCGTCCCCACCCACAGTATGGGAACTATGGGGTCACTTCTTTTGGGGAACCCAACAAAAGGGATTTTGAGGGCTCAGAATCCGCTGGTGAGATGTTAACCGAAGAAAAACTGGGGGCCCCTTGTTCAGTCCCCGTGTTCAGCTCAAAAGGGTGGAATTCGCCGAGCTCCGCTCCGCCTCCTTGGTCTCCTTTGCCTTCTTTGGCGCCTCAGCTCACTCGGAGTCCGGCAATCGGGGGAGGAGGGGGGGGAAGGAGTAAAAGAACACGAGGCCATGCAAAAAAAAGGTGATGTATATATACATAATATATATATATATATCGTGTGTTGCATGTATACAAATATTGTGTGTGTGCTTCGCCTTCAAGGGATGCTACAGTTGCTACACAATCCTTATCTGAAGGTCAAGGCTTTGGGGAAAAGGTCGTCATGGAGCTAGTGACTGTCCTTGTGCGCCACCTTGAATTGAAAGCGGCTATCCACAGTGGTCACCATGTCATGGGAAGAGCCATGGATTGGGTACATTGCCTTTGGCCTCCACAAGAATGGCTCTGCGAATCTTATTTTTGTTTCTGTTGATGAGCTATGAGCTGCTTGTGTCCCACGTGGTTCTTCCGCCATCACTATGAAGGCCCAGGAAATTTGACAGGGTCGCCATAGGTGACAGTTGGCTTTCCAACTCCAAGCCACGGAATCCTCAACAAAAACAACAACATCCCACAAGGATCAGCGTCAGCACCCACGGCTCAGCGTCCCCATAAGTTGGCACTTCACGGAGCAGCAGGATCAACCTGATACGAACAACGCGGCAAGTCTCATAACAGTAAACATGCCTACCATCCTGCTTTCTGCTAGCATGGCCATTGCAATAGTATCTGTCAGAGGGATCTGTGGGCACTTCGAACGCCTTAAAACCTCATAAGCCCGGCAAACATGGATCTGGAGGCCAATGCCATTTAACCAACCCATGTGGGGGCTTCTCTAAATGATGGACCCCCTTATGGCTGGTTAAGCCAGCCATTTGAGGAAACGGGCCTTATTCATTTGAGACAGACCCATATGGGAAGCAACAGCTGGTCGCGTTGCGCCAAAGTACCTTCTGACCGGCAAAGTCCGCAGGGCTCAAACCTAGGCCTCCTGCCACTGCGCTCGGCCCTTGCATCTTCTCACACAGCTGCCTCGGCTTCAATGCATCAACGGCTTGGGCGAGGGGGTGAGGGGCGAGGCCATCTGCCTGGACAAGTTGGGTAGCGAGAAAAAAAAGAAAGAAGCACCAATCATGTGTTTCTTGATCCAGCCACATTGCCCTCTCGTCGCCGGTTCAATGAAGCTAGCGCTCCAGGGGCTCTACTTTGCCTGACATACTCGCTTCGGCCCATGGGTAACTTTGCTGCATGTGGCAAAGGTCATCTTTTTGAGTGGCTTCCCTAATGGTCCCCCAATGTAAGGAAGGGACCTTCTGATCCGCCCACATATAGTAACGCTCCTAAAGCAACTTTCCCGAACGAAACGTCTCAACGACGCATCCCTAACAAGACTTTCTTCCGAGTTCTGCGAAATTTGCTCAGGGCACCTGTCATGAGAAACCTTAGTCCAAAGCACGTCTCCCTTGGATAACTCTTGGTCTTTGCTCGAGTGCGGAAACATTTGGGTGTTTTTGTTTAAGGTTGGAACCCAAAATGACGCAATGGTCTTCCTCTCGGTTCACCTTTAAAACGACCCAAAAGAGGTACTATCGAACGACAAACACACCCATTTACGTTGCCAAGCTGGCAAGGCAACGTTTGGGTACCAATTGTGGCGATTTGCTACCAGCAAAAATGCAACCAAAGGTCCGGATGCATGAAGAAGCAGTCCATGCCTTATTGCCTTTTCACCCTCTTGATGTTTTCCCCCAGCGGGGTTTCACACTTTTAGAGACCCCTTGATCTACCAAATATAAACAGGACGGGAGGAGGTCAACTGGCCATGCGAGCTTCCTCGGTCTGACCGATCTCTGTCGTGACGGCTTCAGCTTGGTGTTGCTCGTTCACTTGATCTCGGGCATCCCAATCGGCAAATTGTTTCAAGCCGGCTGCGCCAAAGTCAGACGGAAGACGGATGCAATTGGTTCTTGCTGGGATCACCTTGGCTGACTGAAACGCTTCATTTTGGGATAATCGCGCAAATCCTGACCACACGAATCCGAGGAATAAGTATTGAACGACTACCCCGATGAAAGGACCACATTAACCCACGGTTGGCATCGGTTGGCATGATCCTTAGGGGGTAGGTTCCCAGTTCCCGCGTATCACACAAGTGGAACCAATTCCATCATTTCCATCACCCTGCATGATCTTGGGATCTTTCAGGCAACGACGCCTGCTGTAATGGCGGCTGACCATGTTTTCTCCCAGCTGCCCTCAGATCCAAGCCGCAACTCGCCCAAAACTGTCTTGAACTGCGACATGCTGCAGCACTTCTGGAACCTGAGATGCAACTCCAATGGGATGCTGCTTTCAACTCAAAGGTCGATCTGCCCGTGCTGACATTTACGCGCCAAGTATTTACTCCCGGGCTACAGCCAGTGTGATCCAAGATACTTGTTCACACGAGCTGGAACTAAGAATATGACCTTGGAACAAACGGGTGAAAAGGTTGATTCGCTTCGGGCCAATGCAAATACACAGGAGCTTCCGGCGATTTCTTGACGTGTTCAGCCATGCAACTGGGAGTGTCCACCACGTGCTTTTGTTGCTGAGTTATTGCCTGCTTGAGTGGTCGGTTGGGCAAAAGCCGTAGACCTCAGTGCCTCCGACCTATTCAATTGAATGACAAGCTCTTCGCGGCGACCAAAAGGGCGTCACTATTGAAGGTCAACTTTTGTGGGCGGAGTCGCAAACTTCATTTGCGAGGCCGCCATTTGGGCCATTTGCCCAAGTATCAGGTCCAAAGGACAGCAGCCATCGCGCACGTGCCTGATGTAAAACAACGACGCCATTGGCTTTTGTCCCTATCCGGCTGGTTTCCCCGCCTTAAGTTCAAAAGCCAAAAGATGCCAAAAGGCTCGGCTTTTTCGGCACGGAACCCGCCCCTGAACTGATCACCCCGCGAACAATCCGCCCTCAGAAACTCAGACTTTGAATGTGAAGGGCCAGAAACAGCAGATCTCACTTCAGTGGATTAGACGAAAAGTCCAAACTGTTTGCTTCCCAAAATGGTCTTCCCAAAAAGCGACCCAAGCCCAACTCATGAAGTAAGATAACTTGGGCAAATCAAAGGTCTGTTCGGCTTTGTGACCTCTTGTCACCAGGAAGGTCAGTCACGTCACACACTTCGCTATGCGAGGGTCCCCGTCCAAATTCGCTCAGCTCCCAATGTCCAGGGCAGTGGACGGTGCGCTCGGTGAAAAAGAATACGGCAAGCTATTTTGGCAGGCAGAATGGGAAAACGAGGAATGCAGCTCCCCAAATACAGGTTTGTAGACTGCAGGATAATTGAATTTCATCTTCCAAGTACTAAAGCCATAAAGCTGCCCCGAAGCATAAAAGCGTCCCATGGAAACGTCTACAAAAAACGCGCACGCGCACCGAACCAACCCTTGTCCCAACCGCCGAACTCCGAACTCCGAACGTCGAATCCAAGGCGCCATTGGCAGAGCTTGGGGAAAGGCTTGCGGAAGGCGGGGTCGAAAAGCCTCAGAAAGCCCTCCTTGAGGATGCACACCTGAGAGAAAAAAAGGAAGAAAAACACTTGCGCCTGTATAAACCCCTGTGGATAAAAGCTAGGCCCTTGGATGTAAGTAAGGGACTACAACATATTGGTGGTGTTACCATGTGTCATATGCATCGACATACAATCTTGAAAGAAAGGTTGCCAAAAGGAGGCCCTCTTTGAACCCCTGCGCCATATGTTTGACAGCTTGCAGGCTTGAACCCCTGGACCGTACTGACAGCTTGAAGGGCCCTTCCAGATGTGTCTCTTGCCCCAGATACATCCAACAAAAGCCTTGCCTGCCCAGGTGTCCCCTTTTGGACAAACAAATGGTGTCCACTCGATCAAACACGTACCAAACTGAAAACGCTGAAATCCATCCAAATTCAACCGAGCTGGCTCAAGGGACACCTACTACGATTAAACCCTCCTCTGTTTTGCTGCCGATCACCTACCCAAAAAGGTGTATGACGGCATGCGCATCAAACAGCCAACCAGGCCGAGCCAAATTCCGGCGGTTGGAATCCTCGCAGCCGGTTCCCAGGCAGGGTTCCCAACCCCTCTTGTCCCCATCGGACTTTCGCACGAAACAAAAACAACCGCATCAAACTCAAACAAACAAAGATACAACCAACTCACCCTTCCACTTGCCCAGTTCTTCCTTGGCCTTGCTTCTGTAGCGCCGAAAAAAAGCCGCCGAAGGCGCCAAGACGATGTCCGCCAGCGTCACCTTCTCCGCTGCCAGAAACGCACTCTGCGCCAGGTGCGTCTCCATCGCCTCTGGCGGGGCTGGGGGCCTTTAAGCTCCTCAGAATCCCCATCAGCTTCCCCCCAAAAAAACGTTGGTTGGTTAGAGATTCGGTTTGGAGGGTAGTGGTTCCCTCAAACAAATTGAGCAGTTTGGAGCCTTTTTCGCTTTGGAGGTTAGGGGTTTCTCCAAGTTGGATGGTTTGGAGCCTTTTTTGGTTTGCTTCCCTCAAAACGTTGGGTGGTTTGGAGATTCCTGATTCCGGTTTGGAGGTGAGGGATGGTTTCCCATCTCGACAAAACGGAACCAGAAAGTTCAAACGACTTATTCAAACAAACTAGGGCTTGCCTCAGGGCCCAGGGCCCCTCTTTCCTGTCCAAAAACGGCAAGGTGGTCCATGTGGTCTGTATATAGTGGTCCGTATGGTCCTGATAGTGGTCCTTGTAGTATCTACATGTCTTTGTTGGGGTTGCTTAGCAACATAATCTTTGGAAAGCCGAAACAAATTTGGGCTGCCCTTTGGGGGATATGATTTTTGAAGGGGACACATGAGGACCTCTGTAAAATTGGGTGGTTGCCCTGTGGGGAGTTGAGGCAAACCGGCAACAGTCCAATGGCTTTGGAGCATGGTTCGTAGGGTGTCTGGAAAAAGATGAATGGTGTTGCGGAACTGTCAAAGCGTGTTCAACTACTTGAGTTTTTAAATATCATGCACACATAAATTTGAGTGCCAAACTCTGTACTGCTTTACGTACATACACATATATGGGGGGTTGATCAGAAGATCCTTTACATAGGATGACCATGCGGGAGGAACCACTAAACAAATATGTATGTATATATATATATAATACATATATGTACTTATATATGCGAAACACAAATACCCGTGGTCAAAACTGGGGGCGAAGGGAATATGGATCAACCCCCGCATATACAGACATACTCTTTAGGGAAAAGTTACCCATGGTCATTTGTTGACCAAGAGTATAGATCAACCCCCATATATAGACACACGATTTGTTTTCTGATTATGCTCACAGGCTTTTGCAGAAATGTTGGGTCTCCTGGCATGGCCCCAAATGGCGTGTGACCAACCTCAGGGCTTGACACGGGGGTCTTATGGGAGGCCGGGCGGAGCCGGGTATCCTCTCAGCACTGGGTGGTTCCCAGCCACCCCCCTCCTTAGGATTCGAGCTGTTTTTGCGTTGGGTTAGTGGTAGTTTCCATTTGATCCACTAAAAGTTGTCGACTTTTAGCAGGGGACAGGCCCGACCAGAAATGGGTCCACCCGCCTTGTTGGTTCTTTACATGGTTCTGGGCAAAATTTGAATACCAGGTTTGGATTATGAAGGTGATGAGGTCCATAGAAAGTCTCGCCCCCAAGAGAGCTGTCCCCCCCATCGAATCGAATTCGAGGGAGGGTGGAACACGTCTTTGACCTCCCCTTAAGGCTGGCTCCAAAGCAACAAATCAACAATCCAGTTGGCTAGTCCTACCTTAAACACCAAAACAAAGTTCCGAAAGGGCGGTTTTGAAGGGTATGCACCAAACGGTGTATAAGCGCTTAACCACAATTCCGGCTGTTGTATTAAAACTTCCATTTGCTTTAGCCGTGCGGACAAAATGAGACAATATTTCCAGTAGTGATAGATTCCCGTTAAAACCAACAAGAGAAATATCACATAAATCTAATTCCAGTAGTAGTAGATTCCCTTTAAAACCAACAAACGCAAATAACATATTTTCATTTAAGCAAGTGGAAGAAAACATGACGTGCTCGTGGGCTCCGTCCAGATTCACTGTCATGACCCAACCAAAGTTTCTGGACTGAAATCTAGAAACCGGTTTGGATGCGGCTTCTGTGGATCTACCCCTGTAGGATTTCAAAAGAGTACCAAAAAAGGGCCAACAGGAGGAAGAACAGGTGAAATCCACCAAAACCGCATCCACACCGTGTTCCTGATGACAGCTTCTGCCCGCGTGACCCTGGTAAGTGATCGCTTCATGCGGGCCAGGCACGTTTCTAGTGGGGAACCACATAAAAGGATGGAATCCGCAAAAACGGCGTCTGTGTTAAGCTCACACTGACACTTCCATGAAGAGACTCACTTCCTGAGTGGATGGGCCAAGAAAACTCCTGGGACAGTTTTTCTTTACCACCAAAATTGTCCAAACTCCCAGAAACGAAAAGTGACGAAAGTCCGAAACGGAACTCAGAAAGTGAGGTGAGACCCTCCGGATCAATCCTCCCCTCTCCGAGGTGCCGCCAGCGCCTTCTTGACATCCTCCTTGCCATTTTGCGAACTCTCTTCGAATCGGCCCCGTGGAAAAGGTCGAAAGTTAGGAGGTTCTTCAAACAAAGCAAAAAATCCACCGGGTGTGTCGACCTCTTTTTGCGAGACCCGCCAACAAATGGCGGGATTTATATGAATTTCTCAAGTAGTTGCCTTGTTAAAGCCAGCAAATCAGGGGGGTCCCCTGAAAAAGGACACACCCAAACATGTTTAGGATGTTAAAACTAAGGAGTAAACAAGGTGGGCCCAGCCCTGAAAATCGGGTAAAGCCCATGAGAGGTACACTATAGAGATGGATTGCCTTGGGCTGTGGTTGTTGCCCGGATGTATTCGGAGTGGGAAGATATGTCCACCTACCACTATTGGGTGTCCCATGTGCACGCCGATTGAAGTACAAAACTGACACCAAGCACAAAGCCCACAAGCCAATCCTGAATAGATGAGCTGCATTCGGCTAGATTTGCCCCAGAAAGAAGTATGGCATGTGCGCAATGCCCAAAACCCATTGGCTCTTGTTCTACTAAGATGGTCAATCATGAAGAACAATACAGCCCTCACTACGTATAAGCCCTACTAAACCATGGTAGAAACCGCTTTGTTTAAAGGCCCATTAGGGTTTTGACAAAGATGCTGTAGAGCCCCTGGAAGCTTGGCAGTTCCGAATGGCAACTTTCGAGTTGTGGGCTTGCCAGAAACGAACACAAGGCGACACCACCACGCTTGGCTGATTCAACCCGTTTTTTTAAATATAACTTGGTGGTGCTCAGCCGGGATTGAGGACACCCCGAGATAAACCATCCCTCAGTTTCCTTTAAGGGGACCAATTCTTGGGTTCATTCCCTCAGTCCCTGAGCACCCCAATTGAAGCACTGTAGGAACTTCCTCGCCCTTTCAGGAGGCCCGGCCTGATTCTGCTTGTAACACTTGCCCAACCGACACCCCTGCCCCTGGTTCCGTGCAAACCCCCTTGAGAGCTCTGGGGCTAGGGTTGGCAGAAGAAGTTGGAGCCCCATTTGAATCATACGTGCCTTTTTGGAAAAAAATAAATAAATGGATTTCGCTGGATGCAATGAAGCCAGTTTCTAAAACCTGTTTCTCCATGTGAAGCCCTGAAAAGGGCCTTGGCTCCATCGCGGTGGGTTTCAAGCATGTCAAACAGGGTTGGTCGGTTCTTAGCCCACAAACCCTCTTGCTTTCAGGAAATGCTGTGGATGGTCCAAGTCCACTTCGCGCCAGTTGGGATGGTACTCTGAAACGTAAATCATGGGGGGTAAACCACCAACTGCGAAATGGATTTTGTCTATCTTCAGATTGCTGCATTGGCACAGTCCCATTTCAGCTTGAGCTTGACACCTGGGGCCCCAAGATTGGCCAACGCTGCAAGCTTCAAACAACCCAAAACTGGAGTCCCTTTCTGGCCCCTTGGCACATCACCCCACAAGAAGCTTACCAACAGTTGGCCGAAACCTAATGTTCTACTGCCAAATTCCCGTGGACGAAACTGTGGCAGAGACATTCAAGGTGTCTTTGGCATCCTGGGTAGGGTTGGAAGGACGCCAAGGGGGCAACCAGTTTTTTGGTGGCAAACATCTCATTTTGGGCCGAGCAGGTTTGGAGTTGCTCTGTGGTATGCGAGGGGCCAAGACAATTCCCTTCTTGGTCGCTCATGCATCGTTGCCTTTTCCCAGGAACATCCCTGGGCCAGAAGATTGTAACCCCAAAACAGCGGCCCGATCTGCAACTGGAAGGCCTGGGCGGCACTGGCAGCCGCGGGTTGATTCTCCATGAGCCCCAGCACCGGGTAGAGCCACGTCATCAGCGGCGTCTCCACCTTGCGTCTAGGTCGAAACTCACATCCCGAGTGGGTTTTTCGAAAAAAAATCCAAGCCTTTTTGGTTGCCAGTAAAATGGTTCAAACAAGTTCAATCACTCAGGGAGTGAGGAAAGCATCGTGGGTGTAGCAAGAGGCTGGTTTTGCTTAATTGTAGGGTTCACCCTTTTGTTTTACACACATCTTGCTGGCTCTCAGGAAACTGATCCTTCAGCTGTTTCATTTAAAAACACCTACTGACCAGCAAGACCGGCCAGCCTTGAGTTGTTGCAACCTCGACCCCATTCGGACGGTTTCCCTAACTATTGGCAAATGTACTCGCAACAGGGAATCCGCCGCGGCGCCGTTGCACTCAAAAGAGATGGGTTCAGGACGGCTGACTGGCTGACCTTTCCCTGATGCACGCGTTGCAGGTGGTTGGAACCATCGTGTACTTGGACACTTCCGATGTTTCTGTGGTTGCTTTACTTTCTGGCCCTTGACACTGTAATTGCAAAAAAATGTCTCGATCCGACTGAGCAAATGCGAGAGCGGTTCAAACTGGAAGCAACATGGAAACCCCGTCATGGATAGTGATAGAAGGAAACAGCAGTGTAGCACCGCAAACATCTCCAACAAAACAAGCGGGGTAAGGCCCTGGCGCGAAAAGGTTAGGCAAGAGAACACCCAGTGATGGCGTTGCGGTCTGCAAGTCACTTGGACTTGTCAGTTGATTTCTGCCCCTTGCCACGAGCTGGAAAACGGCAACGACGACACGCCGCAAACTGGCCGGAAACAAAGCAAGGAACACATGTTCCATCTTTGTTTCAATCCAAAGATGGGATGGGGGGAGTCAAAAGGAGTGACTCGTTTGCAACTCAAGTCTTTGTGCGCTAACTTTTGGGTCCCGTTTAGCGGGGGCCCATCAGTTTCACAAGCCCCCTGCATTTCTGTTGCAGTGTGATATGTATGCAGCTTCAGCCCTGAAGACCCTTAGCTCCCGTTTAATCGGAAGCGATATGTGCCTGTCTCCAAATGGATATGGACACCGCGAAATCCTCGTTTGTTTCCCTGTAAACAAATGCCAAAAAAAAAAAACAAGATAGCCTGGCCAGGCAAAAACGCAAACCCATATTGAGACCAGCTGACTTCAATCTCTCAGGAACCCACACACACATCTCCAAGTACAGGACATCGACCAAGCACAACTCTAACTTCCTGTTTATCCAACACCCCTTGGTCTTCGCTGGTTTCATGGAACAGCGCGATTCGGCGCCGGACCACTGCAACACTGTGTTGGCCCTTTGTTGATCGCCGCTTCCACCTTACAGCCTGGGCTGGCCCAGTCCTCTCTGCTTTCTGTTGGCTGTTCGAGGCTCTTCAAGGCATGCTCACGTGCCGCACCTTGGCGGCCAATCTCCTAGAAATGGGCACATTGCAGAATAGGCAACCTCTGGATGGGATTCTTCGGGCAATCTCAAGCAGTCTCAAACTGTCAGCAAAAACCTCACCACACGCAACGCCCGATCCCTTGATGACCATACCTTGCAAACTGATGGCCTTTGTGCGCAGGCCAGGGAAAACAGTGTTCTGTGCTTGTGTTGCTTGATATTAATTTGAACCGCCGACCAACAAACACTGAACAGAAGGGAGGCCACTGTGAAACTGGGCCAATGCACGGATGTCTACCATCAATGCTGTCGGCCGCCAGCTGTAGAAACTTTTCCAGCATACGCTGCTATGGCCACAACTTTCAGCGCAACGCCCAGCTGTCATTCCAACATTGTCGGCCTTGTCCTTGACGGCAAAGCTTCTAGCAGGCAACATCAGGCAACGCGCAATCTCTTATGGCCGCCACATTGCGCAACAATATACATGCGGGTATGCATTGGCGTCCTTCCATAACTGTCGGTTTTGTCCTTGTCAGCATTGTCAGCCCCAGCTTCAAGCAAGCAACGCAAGATCGCGGAATGGCCCTTGCATGCTGCCCAATGAACAGGCGTCCTTCCATCATTGTCGGCTTTCTCCTTGCCAGCACCAGCTTCGAGCAAGCTACGCAAGATGTGGTGATGACCGTATTGCGCAGCCCTATGCATGGGCGTGCTTCCATCATTGTCGGCTTTGTCCTTGTCGGCACCAGCTTTGAGCAACCAACAAACGATCACCTCATAGCC